ATTGGAAAATGGTTTCATGCAACGCTAACCAAAATTGTTTATTGCTATTCAAATGTTTTATCCGCTCATGTGTTTTTTTAGAGGTATAACCGTTCTATTATTTCCCAAATAACATTGCCATTTGCGTCATACTTTAATAATACTGTTGCTATATAGTTTGATAAACATTTGTTAAATAATGTATGTTATATATTTCTTTATTTTTTTGACACATTTGCATCTAATTTTAGTAATTGTACAAGTTTTTAAAATGACAAACTAAAAATTAGAATTATTTTAGAAAAAAGGGTCTTATCCATAATGAATTATCTGTATAATTTTCATATGTTTGCAAAATATTTGATAAAAATAATGATATATTTATAATGAAAAGGTGATCTCCCAAAAATACTCACACTAAAAGAAATGGCGGAGTTACAAAGGAAACAGGGTAATTATACGTTTTTTTATACAATGTAGAGTAGAATGTATATATCTAAATAATTAACTTATTTTCAAATATATCTTTAAATATCTGTATACTATAGTTTAAAATTGTTTATACTTCTAAACAATCATCCAGTATTAGCCCTGACTACAATTATTGTCGCAATAAAGAACAAATCGTTTACCTAAAGTTTAGACGAGAAATATTAATAATTATCAAATTGCTTGTCACATATATTTCAAGATGTATTTGAAAATAAATTTATTTCATTAGAAGAACATATGTTATTCTACATTGTGAAAACAGTATCATACAACAGATAATTAAAGGTTTTTTACAATCACTTAAAGTTAGCAAAACATTAATTTAAATAGCATTACATGTTGGTTTAGATGTGATGGTCCAAATAGGTACACCCTGGATAGCGTAATAGAATAGAAATCATTCTTTATCTTTCTTCGAGTGCTATAATGTGTAAATACAAAAGCAATCCATAAAAAAAAAATCTTTCTCAGAGAAAGTCGAACGAAAAATGGTTTGTGATACATATCTTATAAACTATTTCATAATAATATTAGTTAATTGGAATTCCACATATTTTTCTATATATATATAGATATATATACATAGAGAAATAATAATATATTTTTAACAATAAATTGTTAAAAATATATTTTCTAAAAAAAAATTGAAATATGGAAATTTTAAAAAGCATATAGTTTTCTTTTAGATATTTAAAAAGTAATATTTAAAATTTTTTTTATACATTATAGAGATAAAAGTTATACAGTATACTAAACCAGAAAGGTCTATAAAATTCAATAGGGTTTTAATTTTTTTATGTAAAAGCTGCACTAAAGTACAAACAATTTTTTTGATAATCACTTTGTGTGTCTGTTCCGACAAAAGCAATATTTTTCTTCAGTAAATTAATTTTTATTCGTTTATTTTGAACCTTTTTATAAAATTTAATGATCATATTTTTAATAACACAGTCAAACTAGAAATTAATGCGCCCTTATATTAACCATAGTTTTAGTTGAAAAACTTTGTATGTTTTGGACAGTAACTTAATTACATTAATTTAAAGATTAAATATAATATTTAATACTTCTACCCATTGTTTTCGAAAAATATCAGGAATATTTGAAAACGCTAATCAAAATTGTTTATTGCTAACAAAACGTTTTATCCGCTCACGTGTTTTTTAGAGGCATAGCCGTTCTATTATTTCCCAAATAACATTGTCACTTGCGTCATACTTTAATAGCACTGTTGCTATACAGTTTGAAAAACATTTGTTAAAAAATCTATGTTATACACAATTGAATATTTTTTTGACACATTGCTTCTAGTTTTAGTAATTGTACAAGTTTTTAAATGGCAAACTAAAAATTAGAATTATTTTAGAAAAAAAGGGTCTTATCCATAATGAATTATCAGTATAATTTTCATATGTATGCAAAATATTTGGTAAAAATAATGATTTATTTATTTTATAATGAAAAGGTGATCTCCCAAAAATACTCACACTAAAAGAAATGGCGGAGTTACAAAGGAAACAGGGTAATTATACGTTTTTTTATACAATGTAGAATAATATGTGTATATCTAAAGAATTAAACTTATTTTCAAATATATCTTTAAATATATGTATACTATAGTTTAAAATTGTTTATACTTCTAAACAATCATCCAGTATTAGCCCTGACTACAATTATTGTCGCAATAAAGAACAAATCGTTTACCTAAAGTTTAGACGAGAAATATTAATAGTTATCAAATTGCTTGTCACATATATTTCAAGATGTATTTGAAAATAAATTTATTTCATTAGAAGAACATATGTTATTCTACATTGTGAAAACAGTATCATACAACAAATAATTAAAGGTTTTTTGCAATCACTTAAAGTTAGCAAAACATTAATTTAATTTGCATTACATGTTGGTTTAGATAATAGACTGGTATATGTCCAAATAGGTACACCCTTTATAGTGTAATAGAATAGAAATCATTCTTTATCTTTCTTCGAGTGCTCTAATGTGTAAATACAAAAGCAATCCATAAAAATAAAAAATCTTTCTCAGAGAAAGTCGAACGAAAAATGGTTTGTGATACATATCTTATAAACTATTTCATAATAATATTAGTTGATTGGAATTCCACATATTTTTCTATACCTATTGTTAAAACTATATTTTCTAAAAAAAAATTGAAATATGGAAATTTTAAAAAGCATATAGTATATTTTTAGATATTTAAAAATGTTTTGAAACATTATAGAGATAAAAGTTCTACTAGACCAGATAAGTCTATAAAATTCAATAGGGGTTTAATTTTTTTATGTAAAAGCTGCACTAAAGTACTAAAAATCGTATAAAACATAATTCCTATTTAAGCTCGTTTAATTTTTATTGTTTTTAAATACTATTATGTCAATTTAAAGTTAGCAAACATTAACTTATATGTATAATTTGTTGTATTATAGCTGGCGATAAAAAGCATTCAGGTATAGTATAGACTAGAGCTACCGATTACACATGTAACTTGTGTGGTTCGAATTGACGTGTAGAAGTTCGTGTAATTATAAGTACACGTGTACCTGCAACTACAAGTATTCTTAAAACTGTAAGTTTTAATAAGACCTCTTATTTTTGTAATACTACTCTTTAATTAATGGTGGTCACTTAGATATAGTATTATAGCCATTGGGTCAAGTTAGTAGAATCTAGGGTCCTACAAGTGTATTAATTACACGAACTTCTAAACGTCTGTTTGCGCATAGGATCTTACGGGAAGTTGAACTAAAAGTAAGTTAATTTTGCACTAACAACGACTAGTGGACTGTATCATTTTACTATATAAAATTTATTATTTTTCTTACACAACGGAGCGGCATAGTCAAGCTTGCCCGAGTTCGCGTGGCTAAGCTTATACATTAAATAAACCGGTCCTAACAATAACGCGTACAAACGGTCTAGCCGATTACGATAAAAGGTAGAAGGGAGCATACTTAACAACGTCAATTTGAACTACACGAACCTTGTCCTACATGTGTTTTTAAAATACACGTGTAGAATCGTCGGTCCTAGTATAGACTGTAGAGTTACCTAGTGTGAACCCTTTTCCTAACACTATAAGTTCAAACCACCAGGAATACATGAGATGTGTTAATATTTATTTACTGGAATAAGTATAGTATCCTTCTTAACAGTTTTAAAATCGTGTAAAAAATGTTATATTTAAAGCTATTAGTTTCTTACATATTCACTATTAAAAATGTTTTATTATTAAAAATTCTCAACTATATAAAAAATGTAATTTTGTTTGTTAGGATGGAGTTTAGTAAGAAATGGTATGTTGTTCGTCACTTATTACTTTGTTTCATTTAATTTTGTTTGCACAAATGAACTATGGTACCAAAAATATTGACGAAGAAAGCTAATTTATCTTGGTCATCTTAAATCTGTTGTTCATTTATTTTGAAATGTTCGATTATCAATAGTTCTATAATCGAATATTTTTGAAACAAATTAATCATGTTGTAAAATATATTGTAATTTATTATATTATAATAAAACACATATTTTATGTTCATGTACATTGTGCAATATTTCAAACTTGATAATCAATTAACAGCTTTTAATAAACCCTGTTTCGAAAATGTGACCCACTTTTACTTTAAACTAGATTAGTGTGATGTTATTTTTAACAAGTTTTGTACCTTGGCATAAAGGTTAGCATAGTTGTGCGACTTCGATTAAATATCATCATTTCGTGCTCATTTAAAAATATACACTAATGAATTTTGATTTATAATCTTCGTTATATTTTAAAATACCTAATATTCTTTATTTGCTTAAAAGTTAGCGGATTGGTCGAAATCTTTAGATGTGGAACGCCTAAGACAACAGAAACAACCAACGTTTTGAGCTCTTCCAAAAGTAATAGTTAATTATGTTTTAAAGATAATTATTTTACATAAAAAAGTTAAACGTTATTAATCTGGTGATTCACTTGTATAGTCTTAAAACATAAAATTGCATCGTTTAGCATTCAATTTGGTTCACTATATTTTGAACTTGATTTAAATTCGAAAACACAGTTTCCGTTTGCTTTGTATAGAAGATTGCGTTAGTCGAATTAGCAAATGTCACTTTTTCATACAATGGAATTTATTATTTTCTTCCAAGGAAATTCCTTGACCGCGTCTTGATAATGTCGTACCCTTTTTTATATACTTTAATATAAATTATATTATTATATATCATATATTTTATGTTCATGTATATTGTGCAATATTTCAATCTTGACAATTAATTAGCAGCTTTTAATAAACCCTGTTTCGAAAATGTGACCCACTTTTACTTTTAACTAGATTAGTGTGATGTTATTTTCAACAAGTTATGTACCTAGGCATAAAGGTTAGCATAGTTGTGCGACTTCGATTAGATATCATCATTTTGTGCTCATTTACAAATATGCACTAATTAATTTAATTTATAATCTTCGTTATTTTTTTAAATACCTTATACTTTATTTGCTTAAAAGCTTGCGGATTTGTCGAAACCTTGGGATGTGGAATGCCTAAGACAACAGAAACCACTGACGTACCGAGCACTTCCAAAGGTAATAGTTACTTGAAATTCGAAAACACAGTTTTCGTTTGCTTTGTATAGACGATTGCGTTAGTCGAATTAGCAAATGTCCCTTTTTCATATTATGGAATTTATTATTTTCTTCCAAGGAAATTCCTTGACCGCGTCTGGATAATGTCGTACCCTTTTTTTATATACTTTAATATAAATTATATTATTATATATCACATATTTTATGTTCATGTATATTGTGCAATAAAGGTAATGATCTTGAAAGGTATAGTATAGACAGTAGATGTAGCATAGTTACCTAATGTGCACTTTCTTTATTATTTTTGTAAAATGTAATAATTAATTTTCTGTATACAATTAACTTAGTTCTTTTTTTATTAAAAAGGTTTTAATGTTAAAAGTCCTCAAAAAAATAAAATCGTTTTTTTTGTATTTTAGCGCGTCCTCCGCGCATAAAAGAATCAAACAAAGGACCTTGTACATGTTTTGTAGGTAAGTATACTACAGTCTAAGGCTAAGTTCATTACATATTTTTAAAAATAATTTTTTTAATTAAAATAGTTGTCCTTATTAATTTGGTGATTCTCTCTTCTTTGAAGAGAATTTCTTGACAACTGTGGTCCATCGTAATGAAACTTGTCCTCTACTAATACTACTGTTTGAATTTTATTATTATGATAGTCATTATATTTTAAAATATAATATTTTGTTAATCATTTTCATATATAATATCAGTTAATATAATAACGTTTTGTATCGTGTTTAGAACTTCCTGAGAGAGACCAAATTAAGTTGTTAACATTAATTCTGTATACCATTAAGTCAATTATTTTTCTTATCATTGTCTTTTTCCCCCATGTGATTTTCAACGAACTCTTTCTCTAACACTATAAGTTGAAACCACCATCATTACATGAGATGTGTTAATAATCTTCTACAGAAATTAGAATAGTATCCCGCTTAACTGTTTTAAAATCGTGTAAAACATGTCACATATAAAGCTATTATTTCCTAACATATTCACTATTAAAAATGTTTTATTGTTGATATTTCTTAAATAAATATGAAATGTTTTTTTTCTTTTTTAGGGAGTGAAGTTTTATCAGAAGATGGTATGTTTTTACAAAAAATATATATATTTGATTCATTGATTTTTGTTTGTGCAATTAAACTATGGTACCAAAAATGTTGACGACAAAAGCTTATTTTTCTTGGACGTCTTAAAACTTTTGTTTGTTTGTTTTGAAATGTTCGAATTTTTTGAAAAAATTTAATGTTGCTGTATTATATTTTTTTAAAACACGACGAACTTGACAAAAATTAACAGCTTTTAACAGAACTTTGTTTCAAAATTATGACAGACCTTTACTTTGAACTGGGTTAGTGTGATGGTATCATCAATAACTTATGGACTGGGGCATAAAGGTTAACAAAGTTATGCAAATTCTGTTAAATTTACACAATCCATGCGTGTGTGATGATTGAAATTCGAAAATCCAGTTCTGTTAGCCCTAAAAATACGTTTGCGTTTCCGAGCATTTCTTATTTACGTATCAGTTAAGTTAAGGGAATTCCTTGACCACGTTTTGATAACGTCGTTAAAACGTTACATCGCTGTCTGCTGTAATAAAACTTATTCTCTGATATTACCAATTTAATTATATTACTATTATTGTCATTATATATTAAAATAATATATTTTGTTATTCATTGTCATATGTAATATTTATTATAATAATATTTTTGTATTGTGTTTAGAACATGCTGCGAATGAATGTGTGATTAGCAATTTCCCATTACATAACTTTCGCCATTGTCGAGATTGTCCTTATCATTAATCATAAGGTAAACTAATCTAATCGTTACATAGATTATTACATACATATATAGTTCTTATACTATAAAATATCATTCCTTAGAGACTTTTTGTAAATACAAAACACAATTAGTTTACATTGTTTTTTTGTAACATTATACGAACTTATTCTATTTAAGCTATGGATTAATAAAAATTTTTTTTTTTTTTTGATAGAAAGAATTTAATGACAACAATCCAATTTCGCAGAAATATACAGTTTAAAATAAATATAAATGTAGAAAATTAAATTGTGTAAACTATTACTAAACAAAAAACATATATTTCAAGGATTCATAATAAACTTCTTCTATCTGGCAAATTTAAAATGTATTGTTTTGCTTTAGTGTAAGTTTTCAAACTTGGTTACTATTTTTGCACCCGATTTTATAATTGTAGCTTTGTTTAAGTACAATGTGAATATATCGTTATAGCCTGTAACAACATTTTTCATAATCTCGAAGAAGATTGTCTAGATAAATCGATGGATCAAATTAAGATATAATAATTGTGATTGGACGAGGCGCTTTAAATGTGACATATTATTTTTTAACACTCGGTTTTAAGTTTATTTATATGATTTAAGCTCGAAGGTTCGGCGAAAATATAAAAGTTTATGAATCGATACACGCAATTTCAATAACAAAATAGTAAATAACTAATACAGTTTACATAAAGCTTACAAATCTACCATTCCACCCGTTAACAATTTCAAATTTAAATATATATATATATATATTGTGCCATAGTTAACCATAGTTTTAGTTGGACCAAATTTGTTTATTTTGGAGAGTTACATAATCCCCTTAAATTATAGGTTTAATAATATATTTAACATTTTGACTTGTTGTGTTCGAAAAATATCAGAAATATTTATAATATTGGAAAATAATTTTACGCAACGCTAACCAAATTTGATTATTGCTAACGAAAATATTTTATCCGCACACGTGGTTTTTTAGATATATGAATGTTCTATTATTTTCAAAATAACATTGCCATTTTGCGTCATATATTAATAACACCTTTGCTGTATAGTTTGAATAACATTTATTATATAATGTATATTATATCTATTTAAATGTTTATCGATACAAACGTTTCCATATTATATAATTGTTAATGTTTATAAAAATAAAAACTAAAAATTATAATCATTTTAATAAAAGATAGTCCCTCCCGTCCCTACTATGTCCGGACCCCACTGTTCGGACTTTTTACCTTTTATTCGATTATTTTGTATACATTTTGTACACACAATTGTTTTATCAGCAAGTCTAGCAATCAGTCATCATTTTGTTTGGTATGTGCTTTGGGGGGGGGGGGGGGTTAAATTGGAAAAAGTTTTTGGTAAATGTTAAATGTAATACATAAAATTGCTGTGCGTGATTTGGTGTTAAATACCACATGAGTTTTGCGTATATTTGAATAACCCAAGGGTAAACGACGAAAAGGTGTTAACACCAACAGCGGGAACGGTACCAATACATAATTTGTTTTTGTATTTGGTCGTATGTTGTGAAAAAAATTTGTAATTATTTAAATTCTGTACGTGAAATTAAGATGAATTTTATTTTTTACACCACAATTGTAACATATGCGTTAAAACATGTTGATTTTGGTAATACGTATATTGTTTGTCATTTATATATGACCAACAAGTAACTGTGTGAATAATTCAGTACCTAACTGTTTTTCCCTTATTTCGATAAATAATTTGTATAACACATTCACACTGTGATTTTAGTACGATCCGGTGTAATAAAATAATATTAAATTATTTTAAAAGTCTAATAATTTAGTAGATCAAAACTGTAAAGCTAAAAAAATTATAAAAAAAAAATTAAATAATTTAAGATAGTTTTAAAGTTGGTAAGTACCCTTTGAAAACATTTCAAATATAAAGCCAAAATCAGATAATTCACACTACGATACCATCAATCATTTAAATAAACTATTGTTGTAGATGTTAAATTGTTAAAACAAGTAGTTTTTATACAACTATAAATAAACCCTAACCACAATAAAAATATACTTATTTCACTCATAAGTATATTTTTATTGTGTGAATTAAACCGCAATAAAAAAAACTGTTTAATTAAACCATTATTATTCTTATGTATTGAAAAAGCGCAGTAGAGGTCTGGTCAACGGTTTTATATAATGCGGTGATGTTTTTGTTTTGTTTTATTATTACATTTTAGTTATATATATACATACGTTTAACGTGTCAAACTTAATAAATGTGTAACTCTAATTGTGAAATCACTCTACTAATTGTAAGTATAATGTAATGTCATATGCAAAACCAGTAAACCAGTAAATATATAATGTATATACTAGCTGCGTTATGAGACGTAACTCTGGTAAAAATATATAATAATTAATTAATAGTAATTGGAAGTGAGTAGAATTTTTAAAAAAATAATTTTTTATATTTTGTTAATAATATTACAACAATTTGTTTGTGATCTGAGATGGAATATTATATATTTGGAATATTCTTGATGAGTAAATATAGATTGCGTAGTGAATTGGACGTAAGTAGAATAGGAAAGGGCTTGCTCAGTAAATATGCTTTTAGTTTTATTTAACAAAAAATGTGAAGTTGAGCCAAATATTTTTTATTAATAAAAGCTATATAAAAAAAAATTAATGTGATGTTCTAATAGTATTTATCATTATAATGTATTATTCTATGCATTCAGTTGAATAAAATAATTATGATAAATGCATTTGATATCTATATATTACAAATTGCTACCCAAATTTTATTTTCTACGTCTTTGCGGCTCGACATAAACTACTAATGATTTTTTAAATTTATTTTATTTATTAAAATTAAAATGTTTCAGCATATTACATGCTATTACAAGTTTTCTTACGCTCTAATTACATATTACAAATTAAGTTACTAAATACAATTAATTTATGATATTGTGATTATGATGTTTTCATGTTGATATTAGTTAATAGGTTATTTTAGTAGTAATTTAAAGTTGATCTTTATCTTCACTTGAGTCTGATAGAAGAAGATCTTGCGGTAGACGTGGTTTTAAACGCCGATTTTTCGTTTTGTTTCCCAGGTTGTAGAAACGTGCGCCATCGGATGTGTTGAGATTTGCGTGAAAGTTTTTCAATTGGTTTTTTTTCCAGTCTTGTAT